TTTTTTGTAGTTTTTTTAGTAGAGACGGGGTTTCACCATGTTGACCAGGATGGTCTCGATCTCTTGACCTCGTGATCTACCCGCCTCGGCCTCCCAAAGTGCTGGGATTACAGTCTTGAGCCACCGCGCCCGGCCCCGCGCCTGGCTTTTTTTTAATTCAAAAATTTTTTTTGTAAAGATAAGTCTCATTATGTTTCCCAGGCTGGTCTTGAACTCCTGGCCTCAAGTGATCCTTTAATCTTGGCCTCCCGCAGCGTTGGGATTATAGGCATGAGCCACCACATCTGGCCTTCAGTTTTCTTAATTAAAAAACATTGTGATGATATTAAAATGTACTGGTTATAAGAAAACTTGTTTTTTTGAAAAACATAATTTTTGGCTGGGCATGGTGGCTCACACCTGTCATCTCAGCACTTTGGGAGGCTGAGGCAGGAGAATAGCTCAGAGCCAGGATTTTGAGACCAGCTTGGGCAACATAATAAGATCCCATCTCTAAAAAAAAAAAAATTAAAAAATGAGCCAGGTGGCCAGGCCTGGTGGCTCATGTCTGTAATCTCAGCACTTTGGGGAGGTCAAGGTGGGCGGATCACCTGAGATTGGGAGTTGGAGACCAGCCTGACCAACAAGGAGAAATCCTGTCTCTACTAAAAATACAAAATTAGCTGGACGTGGTGGCACATGCCTGTCATTTCAGCTACTCAGGAGGCTGAGGCAGGAGAATTGCTTGAACCTGGGAGGCGGAGGTTGCGGTGAGTCGAGATCACACCACTGCACTCCAGCCTGGGCAACAGAGCAAAACTCCATCTCAGAAAAAAAGAGCCGGGCACAGGGACATGCATTTTTCGTCCTAGCTACTCAGGAGACTACAGGCTGAAGTATTGCTTAAACACCAGGAGTTCGAGACTGCAGTGGGCTATGATTGTACCACTGCACCCCAGCCTGGGAGACTGAGCGACCCTGTCTCCAAAAAAAAAAATAAGATTTCAGAAGGCAGCCTGGCACCTGAGCGGTGGGGGAGGGGCAGGGTAGTAGAATTTGTGGGGCCCCGGTGAAGCCACTGAGTGACGCGGAGCTGGGGCAGCCCTGACCGCCTACAGCCCGGCCGTGCTGGCGCTACATGACATGCTGAAGCAGCAGCTGAGCCTGACGCAGCAGTTCATCCAGGCCAGCCGGCACCTGCACGCCTCCCTCCTGCACTCCCTGGACGCAGACGCCTTCCACTACCACACCCTGGAGGAAGCCAAAGAGGTGAGCGCGGCTCCCTGCGGGGCAGGGCAGTAGGGGCACAGCAGCTTCCAGATGCCAGCTGAAGGGATGGTGGCCGGGGCCCAGGCTCCAGCGCTAAGCCCAGGGCTGCAGGGATGTGATGGGGCCACCACGTTCTTGTGGAGGGAGCCTGATTTCTTACCACCCTGTGGCAAGAGCCAGTACAGGGTGGGGTGCTGAGCTCCTGCACCTTGCAGCCAGCCCTGCTTGGGCCGTGTGACCTCAGACTAAAGGGACCTATTATCCATGGTAGTGTCTTCTCCCGTGGGAGGGGTCCTGTCCCTTTCACTGAGCCTCCTGAGAGATGCCTGAGATGGGACCAGGGAAGGCCCAGCTCTTCTCCTTAGTGATCACCCTCACCTCTTTTGTACCCTCTAAGAATTTGTCTGATTACCAGCTGGGCACAGTGGCTCACACCTGTAATCCCAGCACTTTGGGAGGCCGAGGTGGGCAGGTCACTTGAGGTCAGGTGTTTGAGACTAGCCCAGCCAACATGGTGAAACCCCATCTCTACTAAAAATGCAAAAATTTGCCGGACACGGTGGCGCGCACCTGTAGTCTCAGCTACTTGGGAGGCTGAGGCAGGAGAATCACTTGAACCAAGGAGGTGTGGAGGTTGCAGTGAGCCGAGATCATGGCACTGTACTCTAGCCCGGGCGACAGAGCGAGACTCCATCTCAAAAATGGGAAGCCTCATGAAAGCGATGGTGGGCCCACAAGCAGGCGGGGTGTGCCCAGGGACACAGGTTTGGAACTGCTGCCCTCAGGGCCCCCTGCACCCCAGGCCTCTTGTTTCCTGTGGTTTATCTGCGGAAGAGGGCAGGTTGAGTCCCATGGGTCTCTACATTCTGAAATTTGCTCATTGCTACCCTCTGGGGACTTTGAACTCGTGCCTCTGTTGGGCGTCCATCAGCCCATGCAGTGCAGGCAGAAGTCACCTGTCCATGGCACCTGCCTGCAGCCCACCGTAGCTCCCAGCTGCCTGCTCCAGGCACTTCTCCTAGATCCCACCTGCTCTGAGGACACCCATAGGCGCCCCTCCCTTCCGTAAGGGCTCACCCATCGCAGGGCTCACCTGGGTGTCCCTCTACCCTGTGTTCCCACAGCCCCCGGGCACACCTGTGTGTTAGCCTATCACACACAGCCTGTTTTATGCTTTATACTTCTGTCAGCCTGACAGGAGCCTGCTGCGGGGGACAGGTGCCGGCTCCACTCCCTCCAGCACCGAGTGTGCTGAGGTGGCAGTGCTGACAGCGCGGTCTGTCTTTTGCCTGACAGTACATTAGGCGCCACAGGCCTGCCCCGCTGACCATGGAGGACGCCCTGGAGGAGGTGACCAAGGAGCTGTGAGCACAGAAGGTGGAACTTGATGTGATGTCTAAGGAAAGGTACCCCATCCTGTGTACTCAGGGTGTGCGTGCGCGCAGTCACACCCTCCCTCCCTCCCTCAGCATCCAGTTCCGTGGTGGGGGCAGGTAGTGCTGGAGTGAGGGTCCTGTATTCCTTTGAGCCAAATCCCAGCTTAGTGAGTTCTCCCAACAGCATGCCCAGCTCTATGACACCGCAGGCCAGTGGAAAGGGAGTTGCAGTGGAGCTGTCTTCACTCACGGGCGAGGGGCCACTAGCCTCTGCAGAGCAGTTCCACCCAGGCAGGTCCTGGCTTCCCAGCAAGCCAGAGGGAGGCAGGGTGGATGGGAGAAGCCCTGCTCGAGGATAAGGACATGAGAGCAGGCCAGCATGCTGGGGACGCCATGTGAGCCACTGGGCATAGCCTGACCCCAAGCGGCACAGCTCAAACCAGGACATGCGTCTCCTCACTCAGCCTGAGCACACTTCTGACTTACACAAGGGGGGAGAAACGTCTTTAAAAAAAGGCTTTATTTGAAGGCGAAACAATGAAATCCACAAGAAATTGCTAATAGCACGTGTTTACGTTTTATCCTGAATCATAACGTTTTAACAATTCACAGCTACAGGAAATCTAGAACAGAATCAAATATTTTATCACATTGGGTTGAAAAGTTGGAGGATTTTGCATCTTATTGAAAAGAATTTTTCAAAAATGTTTTTGTACAAATGAATGGCATTGCACTGGGCTGCCCACCGACACGTGGTGTGGCCGATTCCCAGTAGGTGTGTACCAGCTCCGGCAGGTGCAACTCCCCTCCCTGCGGGGTGTGAAATGATGGAGTGGGAGGCCCTGGCTGGGGGTGGGGGGGCTCCACGCTCTGGATGGGACTGGGTCGTCGTGTGCACGCCAGCCAGTGCGAGGTTCTTCTAAGTGCGAAACCCAAGCAGGGGACGCGACCAGCATGGACTCTGAGGGCAGCATCTGACCTGAAGTGCCTTAAGCTGGTTTCCTGTTAGAATTTTGTTTCCCAGACAATAGCGCATGGCTAACATTCCAGAAAAAAAAAATCAACTTACACAACTAAAATAACTAAGGGCCAGTATGCCTTCAAGGAATCGGGTTTGAGAATCTCACTGGGCCTCCTCTCAGGTCAATATTCTTCTAAAACTAAACCAAGGGGAATAAAAATGAAAACCCTGCTTGACTTTCCAAGTCAAAGTTTTGTGTTTCTGTTTTCAATCATCTGTGGGCAGTCATGGCACTGGGCCTCGGCATTCTCCCTATGCAGCTGAGGGGAAGGCGGGTCAGGGCACATGGGTGCCAGGAGCCGGGGAGCTGGGGCACCAGCTGTGGCCTGGGCCGACACCTCCTGTACACACTTCTCCTGGAGCCTGAGAGGAGGCTTTGCTCTGACTTAGGGCAGATGCGAATCCATCCCTTCGTGGGTGAAGAAGTCTTACTCGGTGGGTGGAGGGTCTTGTGTTTCTTGCTTCACTGTAAAGGAAAACGAGCCTGGGGCCCTGGTGGCTGCCGCGAGCATGGCGCTCCCACTGGGCATGCGCTGGTCTTCCTTCTCTTCCTGTGGGGCCCTCCACTCGTGGAGATGGTGGGAGAACTGAGCTGTCACCGTGATCTTCCACTGCCAGTCCGCCAGGAAGGTCCCACAGCTGGCACCACTGGCCACCAGCGCGGCTCCCCGCACGGGTGCCTACTTGCACTCGTCCCTGGCCTTCATGCGGGCGATGAAGGAGTAGCTCTTGTTCCTGCGGTAGTTCTCATAGGGGTCGTCCAGGGCCACGCCCACGCCTTTATACTGGTCCCACTTATCCCGGACGTCCCCGCCCTTGATGGGGTCCTGGATCCCTTGCTCCTTCGCACCGAGGCCGCCAGAGCCACTCCAGCCTGGAAAGAGATGCATGATCACGACCGCAACAGGGCGGGGCGGATGCGGGTGCACATGGGGGGCCGAATACACAGACAGGTGGTGTAGACATGGAAGATGGGGAGAGGGAGAGAACCCCGCAAGCCAGCCCTGTCTAGAGGCTCTGGGCAGAATCAGAACCGGCCTGACTCCATCCATCCCCACATGCCAGGCCCAGCACGCGTGAAGACCCTTCCCGAGCCGTCCCCATTCCCCTCTTACCCATTTTCACCAGCATCTGATGGCCTTTGTTCTCTTCTCCGAGCCTTGAGTCAGGGATGGGAGGTGCTGAATTAGAACCCAGACCAGCAGAGGAACTAAAATCGAGACAGGTTATTCTTTTAAGGAGTAACTGAGACATTTATTGGCGTGACAGTGATGGGGCCTGAGCTGCGGCTCGCGTGTGCTCACCATCGCCAGGCGACACCGTAGGCAGATTTTGCGCCTACACCTGTTTATCCTGCATCAGCCAGATAAGGGGGCTTCAGCCGCTGGTGCCCAACCACCGCACACTCAGCATCGAGGGTGGGACACAGTGAACCCTGATGGTGGTTAGCAGACCCCAGCTACCTCCTCAGGCATGGCCAAGTGACTGCTGTGGGGGAGGTGGTAAGGGGTGCCCCTGTCCCTAGGCTAATGCTGGCGGGCTCCTAACCACCAATGCTTCCATATTCACAGCAAAGCACCGCAGAGTCCCAGCGTTACCAGCACGGCAGTTAAGATAGGATCTTACGGTGGAGTGGGGCTCCTGGACCGTGACCGACGTCTCCTTCCTGGGGAGTATGACTTGGACCGGGACCGCGACTGGGACCGGGAACGGCTTCTGGAGGAGCGCGACCTGCTCCGACTTCTGCAGGGAAGTGTCCACGTGTCAGCAGCAGCCAGGCGCTGTGGGGAGGCCGCAGGAAGAGGCCTCGGGCACTGCCCTCCCAAGGCAGCCTCTGCCTACCTGGATCTGGAACGGGAGTAGGAGCGGGAGCAGGAGCGCGACCTTGACCTTGAGTACGAGCCTGACGACTTGGAGGATCTTGAGTTGGAGCGGGAGGAAGAACGCCCTCGGCTCTTGGATCTGCTCCGAGACCTTGAGGGTCCGCTGTGGGGAGAGGCCTGGTGATCGGGTGCCCGGGTGGCCTGTCTCCCTGTGGCCTGGACCCAGCCCACCCTGGCCCTCAGGTTCCTGGAAGACCCCAGATGCAGGGGGTCTGGTGTGGATACGATGCCACAGCCACAGCAATGGTATTCAACAGTATGGCTGAACTTGCCGCTGTGTTCATTCAGGCACAGGCTGTGTGAGGACAGACGTGGTCAGCGTGTCTGGGGCCGCTGTGAGCCTACCCGTCGTCACAGGCTGTGGGCCCTGGCTGCCCGGCCACAGCAGGCGCCTGCAGCTTTACCTGTTCCTCTTCTCCTGGCCTTTCCTCCGCCGGGCCCGCATTTTTGCTCGGAAGAACTCGTAGAGACCGTTCTGCTCCCAGCCTTCACTGCAAGACATGGTATCCCCTGTGTGACCACACAACGCCCACGCACCGGGCACTCGTGAAAAAGTCATCAGGAGTGAACCCACAGAACCCTTGAGAGTACATGGCCCTGTGGCCGTGGGCCAGGCCCTCTCCCTTTTGCCTGCAGGACATGCTCACACTGGGGACAGGGCTTCGACCACGGGCGCAGTGGACCTTGGCTCAGTGTTCCCACGGGCCCGTCCTCCTGCAGCCCAGGGGCTCCTCTGGTGCCCACACCCTTGCCACCCGGCTGTTCTGCTGACGTGGGCACCCACGGTCCGTGGCACTGGGGAACAGGAGCACTGATTCACAGGTGGACATGCCTGCTGCTTCTCAGAGGTGCCCTGCGCCACACCTGCCATACTTTCTCCTGCTCATGTATCTCCATTAAAATGACCTTCACTGAGGGCCAGGTGTGTGCTGTGCCTGTGACACAAACTTGTCACTCGGGGTGGGGGGTGGTTCTCTCCTGTGGGACAGCCACATTTTTCTAGCCTGGGCAGGAGGTAGCTGGGAGCGGGAGAGGGACAGAGGCCTCCTCCCTCCTCCTCCCTCCCCACCAACCCAGGCCCCATACCTGTTCCTGGGTCTGTCATGGGATGGGGGGCTGTAGAAGGCCTCCACCGCGGCCAGCAGCCTCTCGCTGGGCGGCATTGGAGGAGGGAGGCGGATGTCTTTAGGGTCCAAAGGCTTGTATTCATGGTCTTCCAGCTGCAGCAGAGAACCCAGCTGTCACCATGCCTGTGCGGAGCCCTCTCAGGCCCACCCAGGGTACGCAAGGAGTGGGGTCAGTGTCAGGGGTGCTCTGGGCACCAGAGGCCCTTATCCTTCCCTCTTGGGGAACCCCTCTTTCTCATAGGACTTCAGCCACACCAACCATGGAAGGTCACAGCTGCTCTGAGGCTGATGACAATCACAGGGTTCTCTCTTCAGAAAACCACCCACAGGAGACATGGTCTCCAAACTCAGGTGACATGAATAACCCCGGTTTATTCACAGACATGAGGTGGGCCCTCCGTCGGAACACACTCGGCCGCAGCCCTGGAGCCTGCTGGCCTGCCTAGCTTGTCTGGGCCCCCTGCTTGCAGCTCTCCCTGCTGCCCATGGCTCCATGAAGCCTGCCTGGACTTCCAGGTGGACGTCTGAGAGGGCGTAGGAAGTGGCAGTGACCAGCATCCCTTTGGAGCCCACCAGCCCCAGCCCCGGCCCCTTCTCGCCTCACCTCCTCTTGCCCTATGCTCCGGCCACCCCACAGTGGTGCCAGCTGCTGCCAGCCCTGCCCGGCTACTCCAGGGCCACCCCCTCCCTGTGTGCCTGACAGCCACAGCTCACAGGTGGCTCCTCCTGAGACATCCCCTCCAGCAGCCCTGGGACAAGGTGGCTTCTGAGGGCCTAGACCAAGAGGGACAAAGGGAGTACTCATGTCTCACAGCCCAGCCGACCCTGAGTGGCTGCAGCTCCCTGTGGCAGGAGGGACAGGAGAGGCAGGGTGGACACAGCGTCACTCACGGCCACACCGTGCAACCCAGGTTTAGACCCTCCCACTGACCGATGAGGGTCCACAGTGAGTGGGAGATGCGGAAGAGGTGCCCCAGAAGGCACCTGGTCCCACGTGTTCACTTTTCACGGGGAGAAACGGGACAGCAAGGTGAACGTGCTCAGCTTGGAGCCTGCCAAGGGGCATTACCTTCACGAGGGGGGCCATCAACCCGGCAGGGAGATCGAAGTAGGGCACGTTGGGGACCAGGCTGGGGTCGTCGTGGTTGATGTGGGGTGGGCCCTGTCGCCGCATGTGTGGGGGCTGCCCGTTGAAGCCGTGGGGAGGAGGGCCAAAGTCAGGGTGCTGGGGCCCGGCCCAGGGTGGGTGCTCATTGATGCCAGGATGAGGCATGCGGTGGCCAGGGTGGTGGTGAGGGGGCCCCATTTCTGCAAAACAGAGACTGTCTCAGGAATGCAGGCCAGTCGGATCTCCCAGGTGACAAGTGCTAGAGGGGCACGGCTGAGTGAGGGGCCAGGAGGCCAACCCCTCCTGGGAGCCTGCCCAGCACCTCCTCTCACTGCTCAAGGCCAGGCAGTGAGGCAGGGAGGAGCCGGGCTCCAACAGGCACAGCCAAGGGAGCTTGAGGTTGAGAGAAGAGAACCACAAAACCTGAAAACTGCAATGTGACGGCTAAGTTGTGACCCTCCGAATTCATACGCCGAAGGCCTAGCCCCCAGTAGCTCAGGATGAGACTGTACTTGGAGAATGGGACTTTCAAGACACACGAGTTAAAATGAAATAATGGTGGTGGGCCCTCATCCAATGTGACTAGTGTCCTTATAAGAAGAGATTCAGACACAGACACGTAGAGAGAAGCCGGTCACCTATGAGACAAGGAGACAGGCCTCCAAGACACTAACCCGAACCTGCCACACCACAACCTCCAACCTCCAGCCCCCAGATCCTTAGGACCATACATTCTGTTTAAGCCACCCAGGCTGCAGGACTTTATGATGTCAGCCCAAGCCAAAAATAAAAGCAATAAATGCGACAAACAGTCTCCAAGATGCATTTATAATCAGAAATGTATTTAAAGACAGAAGGGCAGGCGCAGTGGCTCACGCCTGTAATCCCAGCACTTTGGGAGGCCAAGGCGAGTGGATCACTTGGGGCTGGAGTTTGAGATCAGCCTGCCAACACGGGGAAACGCTGTCTCTACTAAAAACACAAAAATTAGCTGGGCATGATGGCGGACGCCCGTAATCCCAGCTACTCAGGTGGCTGAGGTGGAAGAATCACTGGAACCCAGAAGGAGGAGGCTGTAGTGAACAGAGATTACACCATGCACTCTAGCTAGGGTGACAGAGTGAGACTCATTCTCAATCAAACAACAAAAAAAAACAACAAAACAAAAGAAGCACTAAAAGACTACAAACAAATAAAATTTAAAAAAGATACTGGGCTCGGTGGCTCACACCTGTGGACCCAGCTACTCCAGAGATTGATGAAACCCCATCTTAAAAAATAAATAAATAAATAAATAAAATTAAGAAAAAAAATTTTTTTTTTTTTTGAGACGGAGTTTT